ACTGATGATAGCTGAAGAAAGAGTAAAAAACAAACATGGAAGGAAAAGAAAATCTGCTAACAAAAAAAAACTTAATTAGACTAAACGGTAGGGCAAATTTTGTCGAAATTGCAATTGGTCTACTGCAATTTTCAAATCGCAGACGTTGCAGTATTTTTTATAGTTTATATAACTAAAATATAATTATAAAAATATTGTTGTGCTACAGAGATGTCCTGGTGTATCATATATATCATATTCTAGAGACTTGAGAAAACATCTTTGTTTGGTACAGATGTACACAAAAATAATAAATCCATAATAAATTTTTAATAGGTTTTACATGAAAATGAGAAATTATGTAAAAATGCAAATCATATCGCAATTGCGATATCAGTCAAAATAATCACAGTAAAATTGTTGAGCCACAGGCAACGTTTTATCAGGCCTAAAAGACGAGGCTTTTCTCGTTAGTAAAGTTAGGGAGATATCATCCAGTGTGCCGATAGTCTGCTGTGGACCTTGCTAAAAAATAGAATGGTTGTGCACACAGCTTCCCTTCTATAGAAAACAATCATGCCATTAGTTGTTACGCAGTCCTTCTATCAAGGCACCATCTCAGTATTTCTACACACTTCTTTCTGTCTCAAAGGTGGGTCGTCTATATCGGCACGCTCAGCCCAGCTTGCCAACCTGCTTCTCTCCTCTTACCCACTGTCTCCGTGCTTGCCGCTGTAAGCCGAAAGGTCACTCCTGTTTAATTTTCCGACAGCTCCTGTTTTATCTCTCCACTTAACTCTATCGCTCTGTGTCAGGCTTGCTAAGACAAAAGACGTTCTCAGTTTGGCTGCCTTCACAGTGGGCTAGCCTCTAAAGCACTGTGTTCAGATTGTCATCGGAGTGGAACCAAACTTTGAAGAGAACAAAACATGGGGGCAATCCAATACAACCTGTGCATTGTTAGAGGGAAACATTGTCTCAACATGAGTGGAGAGGCAGGGTTTTCCCACTGAGTCAAAATCCTTCTTTTGGCCAACACTTCAAAACAGGTGAATAAATGCTAATATTGGCACACTCCACCTTCATTTGTAATAGTTTGCTTTAGTGAATTTAAAGTATAACGTAAGATTAGAGAAATTTTTTGTGTGTGTGCTTGTGCGTCCATGTCAGCCACTTACATCCACTTCACCTTGGTCAATCACATAGAAGTTGTCTCCTTCATCGCCTGGAGGGAAGAAAAAAAGGGAGAACACAGGACTTTGTGTGTGAGAGCAGAAAAAGCAGGACTTGGAGCCAACAGGAAAGCCTACTCTTCCTATTACTTCCACCTCCTGCTTAAGTTCTCAAAAGGTGGATTTTAAACCATTAAACCAAAATGGGTGCATTAAGGGATTAAAATCATTTGTCAAACACTTGGAATACCACTCTCTGTGAGCTGGGGGAAGAAAAATAGGTTGATAAATTGTTGGGATTTATCTTTCCCTAAACTTCTACATCAACACACACACTGTCCTCCTCATGTCTGTCAACTATATCCCTCCTTAAAAGAACAACTGTTGAATTTCTTGTCTTACTATCATTTTTCTGGGTCTTTACAAACTGAGGGCCTCTAAAAGCTTCAGGGCGACCCAGAATGCATATTTCACTAGGCCTGCCAATATCTCTGTGATATAGGGCTCTTGCCATCAGAAAGTTGCAAACAGCAGTGCTCATTACTGCTGCTTGTGTAGCCTAGTAGTGGAAACTCTGAAACAGCGATGCCTGAGAATGCAGAGCTACAACACCTCAGTACAGATTCGTAGTATGCACCACAGACATCAGCTTCATTTATTCTGTTCGAGACATTGCTACTCTATATAGAAAAGTGACACAGACACATTTTCTATTAGGAAGTACTCGTACTGAGATCCATGTTTTTTCAACAGAAACAGACAAAACAAGGCTACAAAGTGTACATCCATGCTAGCAACCACATGAGGCTGTAATGCTCAATTAATGAAAAATAGAGACAACTTGGTGTTCTTAGAGCATAGGTCAAGGTAGTGTAAATACACAAATGTCAAACAGTCTTGGTTCACTGTCCCATTCAATAACTCAGCATTGCTGCAATCTCTGTGTCATTTTTGATCAAAACCTCAGCTTAGACAAACATGTTAAATCATGGTTGAATCCTGCTTTCAATCACATCAAACATTTCGAGGTCTAGACCTTTTCTTTCTGCCAAAAATCTGGAACTCTTATGCATGCCTACAGAATTAGTCGGTTAGATTATTGTAATTCCTTGCTCTCTAGTATCAGTAAGAAATCCCTCTCCCGTTTCCAGCTAATCCAAAACTCTGCTGCCAGGATCTTGACTCGGTCTAAGAAACATGATCATATCACACGATCCGATCTAGTTTACACTGGTTACCTGTTGCTTTTGAATAGATTATAAGATGTTATTGATTACTTACAAAGTCCTGATTGGCCTAGGCCCAATTTATTTAGCAGATCTTTTAGTACCTTATGATAAATAACTGTTTTTTGTAAACCACTTTGTAACTGTGAAAGTTGCTATATAAATAAAGTTTATTATTATTATCATTAACACAAGCCGGGAAAAAATGTTTGGTTTGCGGACTGGATCCCTCTTCTTTCTTTACCAAGGGCATGCTGAGTTTTCGAAGCGAACCCTAACCCTTGAATCGAGCAATGGGATCTGGTTGGTTGATGTCTGCTAAAAGCATCCAGTCTGGAGATAAGGCTGAAAAATGGTAAAGTGTTCCTTTAATTATGCTATCCATTACATAGGGATCAAGGGAAATTATTGAAAAGGACTGACAGGCACATACACATGAGCACTGTGAAGCGCTCCCTGCATCTACCTCTTACAATAAATACAACTCCATTCAGAGGTACAAGTTGGTAATTATGTGTGAGTCTATATGACACAAGTATGCATGTGTGCTTCTCTTAGGTACCGGGGTGAGGGTGTATATGACTGTGTAAATGTGTTTCTTATGTGTATGTTCACCTGAAGACTTGAAAGGCTGAGCGCCCTGTGTGTAAAGTTCACAGGAGTTCACACGGCTAATTAATACTGAGTGGAGAGGGCTCGTTAATCATACAGCTCTATTTGTCACACAAAATGCTCCTTGTCTGTCTGATGAACCTTCTCAGTGGAGACCCCAGAAACACACACACACACACATAACCTGCTGCAACTTGGCCCGCTCCTATCTCTCTCTGCCTTTCTATTCTTCTACTCTTCCTGTCTTTTATCACTTCGGTGCTCAAATCTTTGTTTTGCGCCTTTCCATCCCCCCTGTGCCTGAGAGTGCAGGCAAATATTTGACCTGAACGTGCACACACACATAGATACATAGACACACACACACACACACAGATACATAAACTAATGTTGTAGTACTCGAGACTGGTCTTAAGACCACTTTTTGATGGTCTTGGTCTCGTCTCGGACTCAGACATTGAGGACTTGGGATTTTATTTCAAGACCAGTCAAGACCATAACTTTGGGAATCAATAAATTACTTTTGCATTGTCTGATTTATTGTTAACATCCTAACTTTGATTGGATGTAAAATGTATTTCTTCAAATGCAACCAATAACCCTAATTAAAATATGTTGTTCCCCTTAACGACTGTCACCCCTACCCGCGATGGTAAGCATGGTAAAGGAGTGTTTGAGAATTCCGCATATTAGTGTGCGTCATGTAATGTGGGGAATTGGTCTCGCCCTCCCTCGGTCTTGGTCTTAACTTGGTCTTGGATTGGGCAATCTTGACAACAACAATAACATATACACACACATACACAAACACACACACACATAAAGGTAGGCTGGTGTACTCAGCATGGCCTTGTTTCGACACAAGCTAATTGTCATACACACTGTTAAGGTTCTTTGGCTTTGGTCAAAAGGAAAACATGGGTTACAACCTCTGACTTTGTGTTTTGTACCACTGCTGGTGCACCGTTAAGGCAGATGTGTCCATCTTTCAGAACTGATTTCATGTTGGAATTTGATATTTCACATGTGGAATCATACATAATATTTTCTTTTACCAACAAACCAATCGCTTATAGCTATAAAATTGGATATATGTCAGAAACAGCAGATTAAATTAACCTGATGTATTACATTAGACAGTTGATTAGAAGAAATAAAAATATCTATTCTATTCCATTTTACATTATGATAGAGTAAATTCTACCTTTGTTTAAATACTATCGAGGCACAGCGTCGATAACTCTTGCTGTGTCTAAATAGTGTGTGATGGACCAGTGGCAGGGGTGGGTTTTTTGAACCTGCACAGTAGTCCAGACATTAGCAATGACATCGGCGCTCTATATACTATACCACACACTATAGTGATATAACAAAGGGCTGCCTGAGACTGGGGGCCCTGCAAAGTCCGCTAGACTTATTATCACCAAATTAGGACTGATATAGCCTTCTCCTGGATGCTGTCTTAGAGTAGGTGGGAGTTATTGAGCGTGTGTGATCCAGTGTGTGTCCGAAAGCTGATAGTTTTGATTCACTCATTGTCTAAGAGAGTGTGTGCTTGTATGGCATGCTCCACAATGTAATCTATGTGATTCATTTATGCAGGTGTGAACACAGTATTATCTGAAAGTGGTCATTTGTCTGGGAGAATGTGTGTTTTCAGTGTATCAAATAGTGTATCTGTGTTCGGTAGAGTTTGAGTGGGTGAGTGGGGGGTGGGGGTTACTGGAAAAAATACAGTCTGGCCCTGCTAAGCTCTGTGTTCCTTCAAAGTCCAGGGATGTCTGGAGTGAAGGCTTTGACGACTGTGGTTAGGCAGAGGAGAGGGACCTGATGTCTGGTGCAGACAGGGGCAATGTGTGGGGCTTTGGTATTTTTCTGACCATGGAATTCACTTTGTCTGTGTTTTTTTAGTGCCCAGTGTAGAACACATGGCGTACAGGTTAGAGAGAGGCGCAAACAGATAGGAGGTTCATTCAAATAAGGCAGTGCAAAGGAAGTTGTTGGTATTTGCTGAGAATAGATGTCGCAGAATACCATGTTTCTGGTGCAACGCTGATCTGCTTGGATTAAATGCTTGGCAATAATGGTTAAATGTAAATAAACATTTTTAATTAAACCACTAGATGTGATTAAATACGCATAAAAAAATTATGTTAAACGTGGTTAAAGGAGAAACATCTGTAAGTCTGCATTTAACTATAAGTTAAATAGCTGCTTTATACTATATGAAAAGCTTCTTCTGCAGTTCATTAAATCCCTGCAGACATCTGAAGGCAGCAGTGCCATTAGGCACAGCCATCTACCCCATTTACACCGATTAAATTAAATGCAAATGACAACAGGCTGCTACAGAACAACCACATACACCTCTACACACACGAGACTGGTTGGCTATATTTGCACATTTTTTTCCTTAGTGCACTATACAGTACAAACACCAAACAACAAATTATTCTCTCCAGCGTCTTGTCTTTGGTCTGGAACAGGCCAGAGATTCCCATCCTCAACCTCCTTTTCTACCTCCTCCTCCCCCTCCTCTTCCGCCCTACTCTTGCTCTGTCTCTTCTTACTCTTCTTCCTCCACCTCCTCATCTTCCTCCTATCCCATCTCCTCCTCCAACTCCTACTGTTCCTCTTCCTTCACCTCTTACTCCTCTCCTCCTCCTCCTCTCTGGTGTCCTCTGCCTCTTCCTTCAGGTTTCTCTGGATCCATTGTTCAAAACTGAATGAACTGACTCTGGCCCTTTTATCTATCTATTGAAGGTTTTGATTGATGTGTTATCAGTTATGACTGTTTCTGTTTCCACCTGGGTAGCTGTGTGCTAATTGAGCTCACCCTGTGCTGATTGAGTGAACAATATTGAATGTTAGTGTTTTCTCAATGACCAGATGGTGTAGGCAATGAGAAATGAACGGATTTGTGTGTAGAGTTTAGGGAAATGGGTGTACGAAAAAGTTTTGGTTATGGTTTTGAAAGTTTAGTTGTAAAGCCTGGTTAAGCAAGTGAGAAAAACTGTAATCACCACACCCTCAGATCTATTTAACTATTATTAATTCCTGAAACCCACATATACTGTTGCACATGATTTTGTTTATACATACCTTGCTGGATAACTGTTTCCCCTGCAATGTGAGTGACTGGGAACATGGCATCAAATATGTCACTGAAGGAAAAGAAACAGAGAGGGAGAAGGAGAAGGAAAGGAGAATACAGTTATAACCAACATACATGCTATTATGGCGCACACACAAGATTTGTTCTGTGGAAGAGATAATGGTAAGACGGAGCAGCCGTCATCACTGTGTCAACTCTATCCCTCAGTATACCACAGCCAAGGGGACAGTCCTCATTCCGCACACACAAGATACCCGAATGTGTAATCACCAAACAAACCCACTATCTTCAGTTAAAAGAACAAACATATGCCAATGAGAACATCGGTTTAACGGTTTAATCCACCACAGTTTTGTTCATTGTCAGGCTCAAAAACATAAACAATATACACTATAATTGTTAAATAATGATTACTACTTATCTATTACTACTGGTGCTTAGACTGAACTTTGTGAACTTTGTCAAGTACCAAACATAAGAGACATTATCACCAGATAAATCAGCATTACAAAGCTTAGCCACTTTCTCTGCATCTTTACACTGTATTGGAACTGCACATTGGCTTAAACACGACTCTGTGTTGATTCAGCACATGATCAAAGCCTTTATCTCTGAGTGTATCTTTAGAAGAGGCGCTGAGAAAACAAACAAAATGATGGCTGTGCCTAAGCACTTCATTTATGTCTCAGCCCGGCAGGGAAAGCGCCTGTTAGACTGTTCCTGATCGGGCTGTTTAAATGCATGAAGCCTCAGCAGATTAAAGTTCCACTGCTGAGATGTGTTGGGACAAGAGAAAACTCAGTATCCTTCCTCTCCTCCTCCCTCCAAGGTATTTATCTATCTAACAGTTACATACCTCTCGTCTAAAAGAGAAATATAGGAAAAAAAAACAATAAAAGAAGGTCAGGCATATCAAAGGCTTACAAGACCTGCTGAGTGAATGTGGGGCAAGTTACAGCCCGTTCTCCGTTATGTTTCTGTGTGTGTGTGTTGTCACTGAACGTATGTGTTTACACCAGTGTGTCTGTGTCTGAGTATATTTCTATGAAAACACACAGGTTTGCACAAAATACCGTGTGGGTGTTGAATATGTCTGTGCTCATGACAGTGCACTGGGCTATGCAGCACTTTGAAATGAAAGGTTTACACAGCCAAAACACCTTGCTGCACACTACAGACATAAAAGTGTTGCTTTTACATGAACTTCCCTGGTAAAAAAAACATACAAACAAATAAACTGCAGCTCAACAGATGTTGGGGAGATCTGAGGATGTTATTGAGTGATTTGGAAGTGAAAGGACCCTGCTGGTGTTTGTTTATGTGACACTGAATAAAGCAGACTTAAAAAGGTGGATTTGGGCCACTACACCCACAGGTAGGCTCTGTGCGATGCAGCTGGCCACAGACTCCCACATACACTCCAGCACACACAGTGTACACATGTGAACAAAAAAACCCACTCACTCTTTGAAGTGTCCAAGCACAGGCTAAAAGATGCACAGACACACTCTCACATCACAACCTCCATATACAGTAACACGTGTGCTACATGCAACCAGTACACACATATGTAAGTCAAAAACATATTTAAGCATATATTAAAACACATACACTGGCACTCTCATATGACACACAACTCAAAACGCTTTGATGGTCATTAGTCAGAGCAACATCTGCAGCAACTCTCCCCACATCTGTGACCACCTGCGCTCGGCATGGAGTCTGTTTATTCAGGGAGCTTTCAGAGCAGTCGGCTTCAAGTCACGTGTAACTAGTAATGTGTAATTTACAAAAAGAGGAAATTCAACAGGAGAACAGAGTAAAAATACCATGGGGGAAATCAGCGCATACAAGTAATTAACCTTTGTGTCGTATCTTGATGTTGAAATTTCAAAATCTGTATTTAACTCAAGATAGGTTGTGCTTTGATTTGAGCCCCCTCATAGTGGTGATGGTGATGATAGTGTCGATGATGATGATGCATTGCACAGCTAAGTAGGATGCTCAAGACCCTAGACACAGTCATAGCAAGAGGATCAAAGGCAAGCGAACCTGCATTTAGGCAATTACCCTTGGCCACCTCTCTCTTTCCATGCCCTGCCTGCTGAATGCATCGGTGAGCACAACAAAGACACTTATGCAGGTAATTACTTCCCCTCGTCTCTACCTGTCTCTCTTTCCCTTTCTTAATCCCCAACTTCCTCCCTGTCTGTTCTCGATAACTTTTTCTCTTCCTTCTCCCCTCTCAATTACCCCTTTCTTCCCTCTAATTCTCTTGCTGCCCACCTATTTCTCTCATCTCTCGGTCTATCGCCCCCTTCCCCGCCTGTCCCAGATGAAGTGATTAATCTTGTCCTTTCCGCTACCTGTAGCCCCTCTGACCTTATGAAAAGGCAACGCACCCCCACCCCCCAATACAATGGATGTGCTGTTCTGAAAAAGACAGACAGAAAGAGACAGAGAGACCCCGCAGACTCTGAGGGGGTCTAAGAAGTTCACCTCCACCCTAGGGAGGAAGACAAAGCTTCTGTCATGGTTGAGCTATGCGGAGATACTTCTCTTGTTGTGGTGGCAGCCCGGCTGACGGTGAGTGTCCTGGTTTTTTCTACTTTTTATCAGTTTTTCTGTTTTTTCCCTTGGTTTCCTGTTCTCTGCCCGCCTCTCTGTGTTTTCTCCCCCGTGTGCTCTCTCTCCCTCTGCTCCTGAGCCCAGCCAACTACCTGCACCTGCAACCCATCATCCACCTCGTCAGCCTGCCACACCTGCCAGTAATCAACCTCATCCCAGCCTGTATTTCAACCCCGGTTCTCCACACCATCCTTGCTTGATCGTCGTTGCTCCATACCTGGTGCCACTCCTGTGTTCAGGCTTCCTTGTTTCTTGTTTTTTCAAACTTACCCTGTGCCTTGTCGTTGTCTCCCCCTAACCTTGTCTCTCGGTTTGTTTCCCTCCCAGGTACACTCACCCTCGTCCTCCGCTCGGCTGGGCTCATCCACTGGCCCACTCCCCTTCGGACCTCCCTCTCGGCGTCCTCCCTGTTCCCCTGCCTCTCCTCGCTTCCTCGGCCCGTGTTCCCCGGCTCCCTGGCCCCCTGTCTCCTTGGTTCCCCGTGCCAGTACTTCCCCGACGTCCTCCTCTCCCTCCACTCCAGTCCCTCTCACCCTTTTTTCCCCCAATAAACCTCCTTCCCTCTGAGTGCAGCATTTGGGTCCTCTCTGTCCACACACCACACCCCGTAACATCTCTGCAACACATGTGCATGTGCCCTCACGTACACTTACTAGTACACATGCACGCAAGAAAAAAAATGCATCCATGTAAATGCCCACTCTATTTTCATACTATCCTCGCTGACTAGGGATGCACCGAAATGAAATTCTTAGCTGAAGCCGAAACTGAATATAATGAACAAGTACATTCACATTTATTTTGCCTTTTTTTTTTTTACCATTGCATAAATTAAATCGTCAAAATGTGCTTTACTCAGTGTACATCTGTACCAAACAAGTCTCTAGAATATGATGTGTACGCCAGGACATCTCTGTAGCACAACAATATTTCATTTAAAATTATATTTTGACAAACATATAACCTATAACAAATACTGCAAGGTCTGCGATTTGAAAATTGCAGTAGACCATACTGCAATTTCGACAAAATTTGCCCTACCGTTTAGTCTAATTAAGTTTTTTTTTGTTAGCAGATTGTCTTCTTTTTTCCTTCCATGATTGTTTTTTACTCTTTTCTTCAGCTATCATCAGTGTTAGGTAGTTTTGTGAAAGATCTGATATCCAATGTATGATAATCTCACTCTCACAATGGAGGCTTTTTAGTGGGGAACACTGTTTTGTTATCACCACTAATACTACAGCCTGTGGCTTGTCTCTTTTCAACGAGTCAGTGTGTTGAAACCACTGTAGTTAGTTTTAAAGAAGAGCCTGTCCTTTTACCACAAGCTGGTCTTTACAACTCTCATTAAGTTGTGTAACCTTAACTCAGAACACAAGTTGGATGAATTTTGTTGCAGCAACATATCCTATACTGATATTTGACATTAACAATCTTTTTGTAAATGTGCTTTTACTCAGTGTTTCCCACAGGATTTGGAGAGACTATGGGGGACAGGTCTGAGACCCGAGAAGGTCCGGTAAAGTAAATTACATGTGTCTATTAACTTTTAATGGACACATGTAATATGTTTTATACTTTCTGTGAATATAATCCAGTTAGCCTAATCTTATTTCCATCCTGTATAGACACTTGAAAACCGGATATTTTCACATGTGTATCCTCGTGCTAAATTCATCAAGTCGGACCCATATATAATGTTATATATATATATAATGTTGTATGTGGTTCTTGTATCGCGCAACATGGAGACTTCACAGCCCTCACGTAGTGCACTCCTAATTTAGGTGCGGCTAGTTTAATCACCTTCTCATAAACAAGTGACAGAAACACTCAAAGCAGGTTGCCTTTTCTAAGAAGTCAGCCACAGATGGAGTAGATGTGCTAGGAGACAATTCAGCAGAACAGTGTCTGCAAACGGCGATTTTTTTGTCATTCTTGGACACATTAAAATGCTTCCACCTTGCCAAAATGTCAATGTAATGGTTCTGTAAAATTTTTTGGTCTTTTGGATTATTAGTCTGAACACTGAAAGTGCTTTTTTTGCTATTTTCGGCCGATTAATTTCAGTGGCCAAACATTCGGTGCATCCCCATCGCTGATATGTTATATGTTTTAATGTCTGCAACCTTGTAAATTGTGCTGCTGCCTGTCTTGGCCAGGACGCTCATGGAATTTCAATGAGTTTTCTTTCTGGTTAAATAAAGGTAAAATAAAAAATAATATCATCAAATGACAACAATCACTCAACCCCCCTGTGCACACACACAGTCCAGATGACATCATATAGACAGTACATTGCCCGTATATATGTATATATGTGTTTGTTTGTAGCACATGGAGTTTCACTAGAGATAATGACACTTGTGTATTATCTGAGGGGCTAATGTGTCGGTGAAGCAGCAGTTTTAAGTTCAAGAG